ATATTCATAGTCATTCTAAGAAAGCTAATACGCCGGGAATAATGATTAGTTTTCATGTGTAAGTTTATACAACATAATTGTGTTTACAGATGATTCAAAACTGTTTATTTTTAGTTTTCCTAAAGGCGATTTGTAAAAATCGTGATTGTAATTGGGAATGGTCAAAAATAAGTGTATGATGTGGCCATTTAAAGAGGATGTTTTTATTACGTGTGGAGGAAGAAGATACTTGGAATCAGTGTTCGTGCTTCTGTAAAACAGTGCACTCTTATAGTGTCCATGAAAGCACAAGTTCAAGTGTACCAGAAATATATCAAATAAGATTGGTCCTTACTTGACAAGAAGATTATTTGGAGGAAAAGAAAACATAAGATAGGGTATTTTAATCGAACAGCGAAAATTTAACACTTTTATTGTAAAGTTTGTTGTAGGTAGTTGTAGTTTTGTGCTAAATATTTCTAACATTAGCAGCAGCCGTGTTCAGAGTGTCAAGAGGAGGAGAATTCAGTTAATTAGATTTATGCACAGTTACAGGTATGAAGGCTTTTTCAAACATAGTATCGAGTTCTATAGTCAACATTTTTAGTATTCCTACAACTGTAAAACAAGGAACATTGGACTGAAAAAATGGCAAGATTTATATAGGAAGAAAGGGTATTATGCCAATAAGAAAATTAAATCTGTAGGCAGAAGTTTCTTATTTAAAAACTGTTATGGGGCATATATTAATTTGTATCTGTGCCACAAATCACTGAGAAAAATCATATAATATTCATAATTGTTAACGAGATGATATTTAAAGAGTGTTAAAAATGAGACTATTAGTCATGAAGCTTACAGTGTTACTTTGTTTCAATATTACACTTTTATTCTTGTAAAATCTATGATGAAGTTCAAAAGCATTTTGCAATGGCCTTAAATTGTGAGTTGTGAGCCAGGATTTATAGTAAAGGTATTTGATGCAATGAAACTTAATCGGTACCTTCCAGTATGTATTTTAGTAAGGGGATTGTCAATCCCATGTTTTTAAATAGATAAAATACAGGCCAAAGTTGACAATATTACAGTTGAGAAGAAACTATTTTATCTTAAAAAAAAATTTCTTAAAATTCTGAGATCATATAATCTAATTTTCTTAATAATAAATTAGGTATATGTACATACAGAATTTTGTTATGGACAAATAAGGATCGACAAGCTTCTTTTGTGCAAAAAATAAATGATTTTTTCTAGTATTACGACAAACCATAATGTGTTTTACAAACTTACCGGTAACAGTTTTTGTTTATAATAAAATATTTAGGAATAATTTGGGTTGTTTATCAATATATTAATGACTTGAATTTTGACAAATCGAATTTGTATCAAAATAATTTTACGAAATATAAAATTGATGTTCTATTACAAGATTGAGTTTTTATTGTCGACAAAAACCAGGATAAATACTAATAATAATACCCTTAATAAAATCAATGATGTTTATGTATTATGAAAATATTTGTTAGAGGACATGTTATGTAACAGTTTTTGAAACATAATTTGAAGGGACGAATAAAAAAAATAAAACAAAAACATATTTTTTCTAGGTTTATATTAAAAATACAAGGTAGGTAATCATCAAAAATAATTATGAACCAAATGTTTTTTATGAATATACAACTTGAACAAAAAGTTGTTTAGAACAATTTTTACCAAATTTGCAAAAATTTTAAATTGAAACGCGTAATTCAGTACAAGTAAACATGAAATATTGTAAATACTTATTTAATATCATTTCGAGTGTTTTACGACGAAAAGATCATCTGTCCGTAGCGTCTTTTGTCAGAATATTCGTATATTTAGTGTATTATATACCAATATTGTACGCAGTTTTGAAACTGATAATTAAATAAATCATATTAATGTTAACTAACCATAATAAATGACAGAATTTCACTAAACTTAAATTGCCCCCCGTATGGTTGAAAACAGCAAATTGATATTTGATTATAGATTACCACCTATATATAAAATGACACGAAGACCTGGAATATGGCGCCCAACTTGATTAGACCTTCTGCGCATGCTAACGCTCATTCTCTATCCCTTCTATTTCTCTGGTTCCAACTCCCTAACTGTAATGATTGAAGCCAAGTTTTCACTGATTTTTAGCGCGCTCTGACATGCAATTTTTAGTGGGCCTATTTGTAACCAATATATTCTTATTGAGCCGCGCACACATGCATCTAAACAGTCAGCCGACTAAAAATTACATGTCATTGCACACGCTAGAGTTATAAAAAAGTTTCATATAGAGCATCATGGAAAAAACGGCATCACAAAAGCAAAAGCAAGATGATTCATTTAAAAGAGTGGGAAAAATTATACGAACTGATACATATATTTATATTTGATTGTATCGTTTTAATTTTTATTTATCGTTCGGTAAATTAAATATTACTCGGTCTTTTATTTAATAACTTAAAATATTATAGCTATTTTTATTTTAAATAAAAGGTAAAGTCTTTGGAGAGACACAAGGTTATTAAATTAAACAGGTTGCCTCGTAACTTGACATTAGCCGCCATATTGCGCGTCATCGTGTGGTACTCAGCAATTTTCAGCTTGTTTACCAATAAATTTACATTGTTTTCCTAAAGTTTTCCGTTTATTAAATGCATTTGAGTGCATTATAGGACAGTTTTAGTGGACATAATATATTTTTTTTTAATTTTAGTGTACTTAACGTATTATAATTGATGAACCAGATAGTTTTTTTAAAATTATTTATCAAATTTTCTTTAGAAATAGAGAGCATTCCTAGCTATAACAGCCTATAATGTTCAGTACTTTTTTTTGCTAAGTGATGTATATGTATAATAAATTATTTCGACTAGGTTGCAATAATTTAACATGGTAAAAAGCTAAAACTTTTTTTCGAATACAAATATTACTTAAAAATGTTAAATGTCAGCAAAATTAGATAAAAAAAAATTGGCCCCAGGAGGCACGTATAGCCTCCCATACTAAAATATGTTAATATCTCGAAAACTGCAACTTTGACTGATTTTGATGTTATTACAAATTTTGTTGCAAATATTATTCCTAATCTTAATTTGAAAACCGCGTTTCGCTAGCTACTGTAATTTTGGAGTTACGATTTTTTTAAATTTTTAACTCCCTCCTATACCCCCTTACCAACCCCCCACCCCCACCAAAAACTAATGGCCAGATTCTCGGGTGCCACAGTATTTTTGTGCCAAATTTGGTTAAAATCGGTTCAGCGGTTTTTGAGTTATCGTGTTACAAACGGCAGACAGACAGACAGACACAGATACCATGAAAATATTTTGTATTTAGGTCATTTATGACCCAAATAACTCATTTTGAGTGAAATTAAAAAAACTTTTTTTTTGCCGATCTGAATAGCCTATTGGTATGGTCCATACCTATTGGTATGGTCGGCTAATAATAAATATAGACTTTCTAGAAGAATAATTGAATTTGTAAAATTGTTATTATTATTAAACATCTTGATAATAGTTATTTTAAATGTCCCACTAGCTGACGTAATCGCGCCAATTACTGTGATTGGCCCAAAGTTACGAGGCAACCTGTTTAATATAATAACCTTGGGATACACATTCCTAAGTAGTTTTTTTTATCCAATATCTATTTCAGTTAAAATCTTGAAAAAATTATACAGAAACTGAAAATATATTTTTTTTTCACGTTACAAAAGTGTTAATTTTTGCGGCGGGATTGACAATATAAAAATAGTTATTTTTGTATCTAGTGCGCGAAGTGCTACTTTGGTGATCGATACTTGAATTTTTTAACGAGGCGTAGCCGAATTGAAAAATTAGTCGAGATCACCAAAGTAGTTCGCGCACTAGTGGCAAACAACATTTTTTCTAAAAACATATACGATAGGATACGTCAAGGATTCTATATCAACAATAAAATTCAAATATCAAATAAAATTTTTGAATGTCAAATACCGGGATCAAGTACCTCTATATCAAAATTGGATAGTGTCTCAAGTCCCAAAACCCCCATATCTCAAGCAAAATCAAAACTATCTAGTTTAGGATTAAATATTGGTTCGTGTACTGGTTTTACTATTAATGTTAATATTGTAAATAATAACTAGAATATGTATTAGTGTTAAATTTGATATTTGTTATTTGTTTATTCTTGAATATTTCGAAATACATAATTAGTTATATTAGTTCTTCATTTTCCAAAAATCAAAATTCCAAAATCCCATATAATTTACATGCAGTGTGCGAGATAGGCATTTCGCGCATTACTTCATGCGCCGTGTCATAGTAACGTAGGAAATTGAAAAAAAGTGTCACTTCACACATTGCTATCAATTCGCGAACCTTTTCATTTTTTGACGTTTGTAGAAAAATGTCATTTTAACGCCTAGGCATAAAAGTAAAGCACTTTTACCCTTAAGCATAAAAGTACGAAAATATAATGTTAAACGTAATATAGTGTCAAATTCAATGAGCGTAACCATAATTTCTCGATATATAATTGAATACAAGGTATGTCTGTTAAACCTTCTTATATTTTTTGGAATGTTTAAATTGTTTAAAAATTATTTGTGGCGTTTGAAAAAAAGATAGCATGTTCTATGCGGAGTAAAAATGACTTTTGCACCTCGACTGTCAAAGTGTTTGTGTCTTGCTTGTCAAACGCACAGCCTCGTAACACAATGTGTTATTTTTACTCCTAATAAAACAATATACATACTATTTTCTCACTAAATATAATACTAATTGCTACGAGATAAACAAAAAGAAGATTATAAAATATTAAAGTTTATTATAATTTAAAAGGGTCGTATAACACACATATTTACATTATAATTTTAAATCGTTGTCTATCACATTTACATTTTTACGTTTTAAAATAATTAACATTTTTTATTAATTATACAAAATAAATATAAATTATTTAAAGTGCTTTTCAAGTATAATTTTGCAAGTATAAATCTACCTCAAAAAAATTCTCATATTAGAATGTAGGTCTTATAATATGAATTGTAACTTTTTGTCTTCTAGGAAAAAAAAATTTTCCTCTTTTTAAGAGGAAAAGTGTCACACTCTAAAGTCTTGCGTTTCTGACTATAATAAAGGTGCGACCTCGGGTGCAATTCACTTGATTCTGTCATTACGCTATCTTCATTTTTGGATGTTGGCATCAACAATTTCTTTTTTCTAATGTTGAATATTTTCTCTTTGTTATACTTTTGAGAGAATCTCTTTTTAAAAGGAATGTCAGAAACTTTGCGGGCTTGATACGTAAAAGCTACTACGAGTGGTTTTTCCACAAGGCTGTTAAAATTGGCGGGTAAACTAATAGATTGGGAGAGGTTAGCATTAGCAAATTCTTCCAAGAACGCATCATCTACTAGCTTTTCCTCAAGAACGTCCTGCAATTCAGAATCACGAGGGTTGGTATCGTAGAGAGCAATAGGTCCAATTTCAGAGCTGCAACAAGATATACAGTTAATTAAAAAACACACAAAGGGTATTATAGCCGGATTGAGATGGACTTCCGTGGCTTTTTTGACTCGCACTCAAGGGATCGATTTGATGTCGAATCAAAATAATTCACCTAAATTTATAACTCTAACTAAAACGGTTTTCGAGATTTAAAAAAAAACTGTTTTTTCAATTTTATTTTTATAGCAAAATTCAAAATTAATTAATGATGATTTTTTTCCTAATTATTAGAAGTCTAAGACATGAAAAAATAATATGATCATGATTAATTATAAAAATTAAAATCTTCATTTTTTTAACCTTCGTGAATTATGTCACTCACTAAAAATCGTCATAAAATATCTTTTATACTTCTTTACACTCAGGATTTTTTTTAGAATTTTTTAGAAGTGGTGGAACAATATAAAAAAAATTAAAAACACATTTTTTCTAAAATCTTCTGAAATAATTAATGGGTTAGTTGCAATTTAATACATACAATGACATCAACAATGAAGACTAGTTTATTGTAAGGTTACCTAAATAAGCGAAACTCTAGAGGAATATATGATTGCTGGTTACTGAAAAGCCAAGTAAACGGCGTTATACTACGTCAGCTTGACGCGAATTTTTCAAAACCCCAGTCTTTACGTAATCATTGCGTTGCAATTTGATTGAAAATGTGTAATAAGCAACATAGATAAAGAAAACAAGTTTAGATTGGAATGCTCGGCTTGCCGCCAAAACTTACAATTGTTTTGGGGTGCATACGTTGTACGGGATCTGGCGCTGCTATAGCGGTTGCTAAGAACAACCGTAATCAAGAACAGAAATAATTTTCTCTTGTCAAAGTCAGAATCTTCAAAAATTATAAAGTCTTTAAAACTTTAAACAGTCCTCTTTGAAAAATACCGAAAAGTGTTTAAAGCGTCGATTTTCAAAGTAATTATTGCTAACTTGTGAGTTTAATTTAAATTTTATTTACTTAAACCCGTGATAGTTGTGAAAAAGTGACATTAAAAACTTAACAAACTGTGTGAACTGTGAACTGCAAAAACCATCGTAGATCGTGGCATAACGTCGGTTTCCAATGTTTCATAGATATTTCATATATGTCCATATATAAAATAAAGTTTCTTAAATGCAATACACTGTATTTTATTTAAAAAATTAAAAGGAAATAATAATAAATTTGAATAAATAATATTTGGCGACATAATCCCGGAAAAAACTGAACCGCTCCGAAATTATCAAAAACTTAGGGTCGCGACCGTTGCAAGAATAGCGCCAAATAGTATTTACATTGTTCTTATGGGCACTTTCCAATCTAAACTTGTTTCATTTATCTATGATAAGCAATATCGTTGTGAATTTGAAGTAAAACTATATTTTCTACGCACTTTTTTAAACTAAAAAAATATAAGTTAGTTAAAACAGAAGATTTTAGAAAAAAATGAGTATCAAATTTTTTTCATATTGTTCCACCACTACACCACACAAAATTCTAAAAAAATTCCTGAGTGTAAAGAACTATAAAAGACATTTTCTCACGATTTTTGGTGAGTGACATATTTCACGAAGGTTGTAAAAATTGCTAAAAATCGGCTTTTCGTTTAAGAATCATGATCATATTATTTTTTCTTGTCTTTTTTTACTTTAATTTTAAATTTTACTATAAAAATAAAACTGAAAAAACAGTTTTATTCTAAAATCTCGAAAACTGTTTACGTTAAAGAGCTAAAAGTTTAGGTGAATTATTTTGATTCCTGATTTCGGCAGATTTCCCACATTAAAAAGGTATTATAAGAGCACCTTATTAGAGAAAATCTTCTGAATAAAAAAAGTATATTTACCTTAAACCGTTGCTTAAACCTTGTGTATTTTTGTCTTCACACTGCCCACCAAAATCCATCTTGTATTCCATCTTGGCTTTACGTGTCACTTTAAGATTAAAATAATTGTCAAAAATGCTAGATCAAGAGAAATCTTCAGTAGATCAACGCAGACTAAACTTTTAAGTCCTTATAAGTCCTTTCATCTTATGTAAGGGCGGGCTAAACCCGTCCTAAGTGGGGATGTCGGCCAATTGAGAATATACCTGTATACCTGTGTATTAGGTAGTGTAATGTCAGCCTATCAGGGCCTGGCGTTATACCCTTAAGGGTAGTTTTTATTCGATTTCAAATTACATAAAAAGTAATAAATATCGTAAACTCCTGTATATTTTTTTAATATAGCTGAAGAATACGCCCTTTTCAAATTTAATAAATAAGAGTATAAAATATAATATAAAATTTAATTACTTAATATATTTAAACATAATTTTCTTATAAATTATCTAGTTATGTATATCACTATATTTTTTATTATTTTTGTATTGAAATTCGTATAGCGGGAATATATACAGGGTGTTTCAAATAACTTGTTCCACCTCTGGTGAGGGGATTCCTCACGTAAAAATAAGATTTATTTTTCATTTCAACATAGGTCCGATTCTGCTTTGTTTCGTAGCCACAAAGTGTTAAAGTCTTAATATTTTTTCGATTTATTATAATTTTCTTCCACGTACTTTTAGCATTTTGAATGAAATTTTGAGTGTAAAAGTTACTATAAATGAAAAAAATAATTTTAAAGCTAAAAAAGTGTTGACATATTCACCAGGGACTGTTGGAATTTGAGATTCGAGAAACCCCTCCTTATCGAACCTAAACCCCACAGTCAATCCGTTTACAAAAAATCAGCTTTAAACGTCAAGCAGTTTAAGCAGAATAGTGATTACTCATTGGTCATATTTTATGAAACACCCTGTATATATTTTTAAAAAATCTTAAAATATGTAAAACAATACGTGTTTTAAGAGTTTTTCCGAAAAACTCACCGGTTTTTAAATAAAAAATATTCTAATATTTGAGAGTAATTTCACCCCCTTAGAATTCGAGTTTCGAAAAATCCCTTCTTATCGAACCTCTACACACTAAAGTCAATCCGTTTTCCAAAAATCAGCTTTTTACGTCAAGGGCTTTAAGCAGGATCGTGATTAAGCAATGACCAGATTTTTCAAAACACCCTTTATACATTTTTAAAAAATCTTAAAATATTATTCTGAAAATTTTTCAGAATAAATAAATACCTTAATATTGAAACTTAATAAGTAAGTACTGAAACATACAGCGCCATAATATCTCGACCTCCGTACGTTATGCTCGTAACAGGTTGAAACAGAATGTATCTAAAACAACTGATGGCGTTATTCCCCAACCTGTTTCAAACCTCCATCGACAATCGACCGATGCAGCAGCGTTCCTTTCCCACTCCGATTATCTCGACCGCCACCCTGTTATGCTCGTAACAGGTTGAAAACCAACATATCTAAAATGACTGCTTCTCCAACCCGTTGCGAGCCTCCATCGACAATCGACCGATGCAGCAGGGTTCCTTTTTTTCCCACTCCTGTTATCTCGACCGCCAGGCGTTATGCCCGCAACTGTTTCAAAAAACCTGCTTCTTTTATATCCTATTATTTTTAAGCTATTGCAAACCCAATACGACCATCGACGGTTTCGACCTTAGTTTCGAACGAAGCAGCTACGTCCGCCGTAGCGCTTTCCCCACTCTGTTGTCCGTTGTCTCGCCGCCTGTATCGATGGTTGACGAAATAACATGTTTTCCATCCATACCAGGGTTGCCACAAGCTACACAATTGTGTATTTTGCTACACATTTGCTTCCATGACTGCACAGCTACACCACAATGGCCTGTGCTACACATTTTGAGAATTTACATATTTATTATAAAAAATAATACCAGAACAGTAAATCACCTGACAAAAGCTGTTTTTTTTTTGCTTTTAAGTTATCTAAGTTACATTAAAAGAGGCCGCAAGTAAACTTTAAATTTTGAACTGACAAATATCATTTTCGGTCATCTATTGGTCGAGTCAAAAACGGTAAATAGACAGGATTGCTTAATTCCTTAAGTAATACATAACACGTACTTTAGCCATAGTTTAAGGAAAAGAGTAGTTGCACTGTCGCAAATATTTTCTGCCATTTTTTGCAAGCTGTCGAATATCGGCAGGTTGCAAAGCGTTTGAGTTGAATTCCGTCAGTCGAGCTGCGAGGTTCGAGCGTTGCGTCCCAGCACAGAGACAGATTGACAAAAAATGAGTGCCTTACTGTTTGCTGCTATTAATTGTAGTAATAATTCAAAAAGTTGTTCTTTCAGTTTTTTTGATTTCCATCGGATAAAAATCGGCAAACTGATAGTAATTATCAATAAACATTTAATTATATTTGTTTATTTTAGAAGGTGAGATATTATGTAATTAATTAAAGTTATTATTTTTTTAGGATGTGGGCAGATTTTAAAAATAGTTTTTTAGATATACAGGTTGTCTCAAATATGCGCATGAAAATATTTTTTGGTCAGGGGATTTGCCATAAAATTTTCATTCCAATAATAATTTACAAGATAATTTATATAGATTGGTTTTTGAAACATTTTAGAGTAAATATTTTGTACATCTAAAGTCTCCGCAAATTATTCATATTTTTTAATTGAAAGAAATTTATAATAGCATAATCTCTTATAAATTTAGTGGACTGTATTTTTTATGTTTTTTTTTATTTGTTCTTTATTATAAGTGGTCGTAATATAACAATATTCAAAATATTATAGACAAAATATTGAGTTTATAATTGAAGGAAGAAAAGTGCCACACCTAGCTTTAAACCACCGTAAATATACAGGGTGTCCCATTAGTGCGAGGAAGTCCAATATCGGCGTTGTTGTCGAAGATGTGAAAAAAGTTTTATTCATATGTTTCAAGGTTTAGAAAGGGGCGTGTTTTAAAATACTTTGTTATATACAGGGTATCACAAAAAAAGTTATGGTAAAGTGATTTATTTTAAATTATTTTACATGATTCTATACACATTATTCTATATAGGGTATTTTTTATGGCGTCACCAAAATCGGAATATTTAAAATGGTATATCTCAATTTTTTTAAATGGAACATTCTGTATATTACTTTTCTGTCAGATGCAGAATTAAAAAGTAAACATTTTTTTATTTAAAGTATTTCTAAATTCTTAACGGTTTCGCAGATATTCGCAGTATTATACATTTTTTACATATGGCTCTTTAAACAGTAAATTTTTATCAAAGCACCTAATATGATCTTTGTCTGATATTTTATCGTTGAAAATCCCATATGTAATGAAATACAGAAAATATTTGCAAAACGGCTAAAAATTTAAGAACACTTTAAATACAAAAAATGTTCACCTTTTAATTCTATATCTGAAAGAAAAATAATATACAAGGTGTTGCATTAAAAAAATGAGATACAATATTTTAAATATTACGATTTTGGTGAGGCCATAAAAAATATCCTGTATACGATAAAGTAATTTTTTTACACGAATTTATTCTGGTATCCTTCATGTTTAAGAAAACCTAGCTAAGTATTAATAAAGTTATATTCACTCTAGTTTTTTACCACTTTTCGTATATACATAGATAATGTTTTTAAACAAAATTTTAGTAAATAAGAAATAGAATGGCAACACTGCAGTGTGCTTTAAATAAAGACGGTGTACTATATGCAGAATTTTATGCCGAATCCAGTTATCTACAGAAAATTAAACTTGTTTTAAATATATTTTCGTGTGTTTTGTGAGGTTTCTCGCGTATAAGTAGAAATACAAAGATGCGAAAACAATCACTCTGCTACTTTTTTGTGAAACTAAAGGTGCTCCGTACAGGTTTACCCTAGCCTCTTTAGTCTCTGAAATACAGGGCGAATTTAAAATTCTTGCATTTTTTACTACCTTCGTATCATGGTTATCTTATAACTTATCTAAAAGGTGAAAACTCAGTCCCGTAAAGTATTTCACAAAGAAACCAATAACGTAACTAGTTTTTCACTGGGAGCTGCATTTCCGAAATATGATTCAAACGTATGTATTTTTTAAATGGGAAACCCTGTATATTATTTTTTTTATTTAATTTACCTTGTCATGAGCTTTCTAAAAATATAATATATTCTATACTTAGATATATTAATAAACAAGGTAAAAAATTATTTTTTTTTACTTTTTAGCATAAATAAACCTAGCAAAATAAAACACTAAATCACCACAATACACCAAAACACTTTTACTTATACACTGGACGCGCGTTTCGTTAACAATGTTAGCATCATCAGCAGATGATTAAACTAAACTCACAACTCGCTAACATGGTTAGCGAAACGGGCGTCCAGTGTATAAGTAAAAGTGTTTTGGTGTATTGTGGTGATTTAGTGTTTTATTTTGCTGTGTAACACCAAAGGTTCCAACCCCCAACTGTAATAAATAAACCTAGTTCAGAAAAGTATTATCTTATCTATCAGAAAAGTATTATCTATTATTTTATTGCATTTAGTTTCTAAACCAGACAATTTTCCTTTCCATCATGTTATCTTAATAAACTGCACTGAAAATAAACTTCTGTAGCTTCTATATCACACGCTGTCGAGCAGAATTATTGATATAATGCACTTGTGCAATAATTCTACACACAGAAACTAGCGTGAAATAGCCAATAACCAAAATTTAACGTCGAATAAAATTATTCGATCATTTTGATTACCTATTTCATACCGATCGCTTATGTTAAAAAATTAAATAATGCAATTTTTACGTTGTTTATAAAAATACGTATAGAGTAGGGGAAGTTTACCTAAAATGGGATACTATGGTAAAACGGGATACCCTAATTATTTTGTAGTACATGCAGCGCCATCTATTGTGCAATTCACCTAATAGTTTCTGTTAGTGTGTGAGTAACCTTTAACAGTTTGACTAAAATCGTAGCTGGTACAACGACGCTAAGTGAGTTTTTAAGTTTTTTAACACATTTCTTGTAAAAATTTAGATCT